GTGTTCCCCATTCTCCTCCCCACATGCCCGGAGCTCCTCTATAGAAATGAGATTTATTTCAAAGCACAGCGTGAAGAGCATTGCCATCCATTATTGGGCACATTGGTTCAACCAAATAGCACGTTTTTGTCAAAAAGCGACCGAAAAATATATGGTCAATATTTGAACAATTAAAATGTTGCTTAGACACTGAAATGGAGACCAGACACGATTCTAAACATCCTTCAATCCATCTTGGAAATTGGGTAATTGCTTACCGTCTGTCAGGTTGTTCTACTAGGCTTCCTAGACAACCCTGGAAGTCCAGAGGACCCTTGAATGAAAGTGTGCTAGGCTTCATGACCAGTGTGAGTCTCTCCTCTACAAAATACCTGGTTTGTGGGCAGAACAGCCTCTAGATTACAGAGCCCCTGAAGAATTCTATTCGCATCTGCTTCCACAGAGCAGAGAAGATTCTGTGTGCCGAATCTCCAAGATTTCCAGGTTTCTATTAGCATTGTCCTAGAGATCTCAGGGTCCTGAAGTTCAGTCTAGGGGATGCTGCACAGGGACGGGTGTGTGTGTGTGTGTGTGTGTGTGTGTGTGTGTGTGTGTGTAGTGATTACAGGTTGGGTGGTGATTCACATGGTCAGCAGTTTGGAACCACCAGCAGCTCCACAAGAGAAAGACTGGATGTTCTACTCTGGCAAACTGCTCTAGTCTTGGACATCCACAGGGGGCCCTATGAGTCATCACTGACGCGATGGCAGTGAGCCGGGTGGGGTTTGGTGCATGGACTAGGTGTCATGACTGTCAGTGGCATCAGGGTTTGTCATATTTTGGCACAGCACATACCCTTGCCCAAACCTGCCAAGTGTTCAAAGGCTCTTTAGAATATATAGTTAACTTAAAGGCTATGCGAATTTGACCTCTTCCTGCCCTTCACTACTTGGTGGGTAAAGAGGAAACTGACATGAACACTAACAGTGGTCCCCTAAAGGAGAAAAGCTAATATTAGCACCATAGCCAATTATGATAGACTCTGCCTGTTATCATAAGTGTTTTCTGTTTCTTTTGATCCTATATCTTTCATCCTATGGATGTTTGATCCATTATTAACTTCCAGTCAAAGTTTTGAAATGTGAGAGCCTGCTATGTACATTCTGTTAACTTGGGGGGGGGGGATGGAATAATCATTTTTCTTCCATTTGTATGCAGAGTACAATTGTATGAGCATCTAATCTAGCAGGTGGTCTATGACCCCAAATGACGACACGCTTGCCAGATGTTGAGTCTCATGTGACATTAATTTCAGTGCTAATTGCTCTCTCTCTGGTTCTCATAAGCCTCTTCCTATGTCCGAAAAACCCTGTGGCTCTCATAGATAGGAAATTTCCCAAATTACATGTCCCTTTCTCAGGAGAGTGAAAGCGATTTAAAAGGTCTCATTTTCTTCTGCCATGTCAGAAGAAAACTTGGGAGACATAAAATTTTAATGCATTCTTTTACAATTTATTGCAGTTGAAGATGAAATTGATACGACTGTGACAGAATTTATTACTGAAAAAAATCAGTCTACAGCTATGACACAGTAAGCAGACGCTTTTAAAAACAATATCAAAGATAGATTATTCAGATTTACTTTCTCCTCGCAGAAACATAATCATCCCATTCTTTTTTGCCTAAATGGAAGCTATCTCTCAGCCACACACACAAAAAAAGTTAAATGATTTCCCCTTTATCAAGAATCTTCTCGTGCCACAGAAATCTAGAATTGACTAATTTTCAAGTCCTCACGTTATCCATACACTTTGACCTATTTGCCTGGTTGCCTCCTCTTCTTAAAATGCCTCTCTGGGTCTGAGGGGCCGGCCCCAATACCAACTAGGTGGACAGCTCCTACTCCCCCCAGAAGAATTCACTTCAGAGGACAGCACTGAAGCTACAGCTCAGGGAGAGGACATGTCTGATTGGAGCACACAGGAGCAAACTCAGGGAGGGAGAAGAGTAGAGTGCATCCTGGCCCACCAAGCCTTCAGGATGATATTCCTGCTCAGAGCAGCCAACGCACAGAGAGGACCATAGGGCCGGCCCCACCACGAGACATGACGTCCCTCACTGATCACAGCACTATGGGAACAACAGTAGAGACACAGTACAGGAATTGTGCCTGATCTGACCCCACCACACCAAGGCAAAACACGAAGGGTGTGCAAAAGAACGGCAAGGGGAGCAAAGCAATGAAGTGCCTGGGGAATAACAAAAATAGACTGTGGGGCCAGGGCGTGACACCCCATCAGACTCAACAGGAAAACACTCCTAAAGGTCAATAAACAGACCTTGAACTATTTATAGACTTTTCTTTTTTTGTCATTGTCTTGTTTTCTTTTGTTGCTTTGTTTTGCTCTGCCTTGTTTTGGTGCTTACTATTGTCTCTGCATGTCTATTTAGATAAGAAAAGCTGGATAAACAATCTGGAGGAGAAAACAACAGGACCATGGTTCTGGGGGAACACAAGAGAGGGGGAGGTGGGGGAAAGGAAGTGGGTGTTAACAAACCTAGGAACAAGGGAATAACAAATGATCTAAAATCCATGGCAAAGAGGGTGTAGGAGGCCTAGTAGGGCTTGATCAAGGGCAATGTAACTGAGAGGAATTACCGAAACCCAAATGAAGGCTGAGCATGATAGTGGGACAAGAGGAAAGTAAAAGGAAATAGAGGAAAGAACTAGGAGGCAAAGGGCATTTATAGAGGTCTAAATACAGGCATGTACATATGTAAATATATTTATATATGATGATAGGGAAATAGATTAATGTACATATATTTATAGGTTTAGTATTAAGGTAGCAGATGGACATTGGGCTTCTGCTCAAGTACTCCCTCAATGCAGGAACACTGTGTTCTAATAACCTGGCATTTCATGATGCTCACCTTCTCGACACGATCACTCAAGACAAAGTGGGTGTATAAGCAAATGTGGTGAAGAAAGCTGATGGTGCCGGGCTATCAAAAGATATAGCATCTGGGGTCTTAAAGGCTTGAAGGTAAATAAGCGGTCATCTAGCTCAGAAGCAACAAAGCCCACACGGAAGAAGCACACCAGCCTGTGGGATCATGAGGTGTCAAAGGGATCAGTTATCAGGCATCAAAGAAAAAAAATCATATCAATGTGAATGAGGGGGAGTGTGGAGTGGAGACCCAAAGCCCATCTATAGGAAATTGGACATCCCCTTACAGAGGGGTTGCGGGGAGGAGCAGAGTCAGTCAGGGTGCAGTATAGCACCATTGAAACATACAACTTTATTCGTTGTTTTTTTTTTTAATGTGTAAGAGAGAACTTTATATCAAAGAGTAATTGTATATTAAGAAAACGTTCCAGCCCAGTTAAGTTCCTGAAGTCTGATGTTAGCCGGTATGTCCAATATCAGTCTATAAATTCCTCTTCAGACCCATGCAACACACGCAATGATGTCGAATGCAGAAAGAGCACAGGCCGGTGGGTGGAATGTCTCGTGGATCTAGTGGTGGTGGAGGCATTTCAGCACTGGCAGGGGTCTCCACGTGGCTCCCCCTGGCTGCCATCAGCAGAGCTCCATGTGGCTTGTCAGCAGGAAGACAAAGCAGAGAGAGTGTGTGTCCTGCTTCTGCACCCAGCGAGGAAGACA